CCCCGCCTCCACGGGTGGCGCGGCCATACGCCGCCGCTTCCCCATGGAAACGTGTCACTCTTCGTCCCGCCCTGCTCCACCTTTCTCGTACGGGGCGCGGCGAGGACCAAAAAGCGCCCAAATGCCACGCATCCCTGGGGTGGAGGGGCTGGCCTATCAGGCGTTTTGGAAACCGCCCTGGCATCCTTTGGTCCCCTTTCGGGAGGGCGGCTGGCCGGAGTCTTTCCCGCGGGGAGCTGCCAATGGGGGTTCTCAGCAGCCAATTGCCGAGCCACGTGGGTTTCTATGGCCAGGCACTGACAGTTTCCCATCGCCCCGCACCACGCGGTTTGGGTAACCCGCATGAAGGGGAAAGAGAGAAGTCGCCTTTATGCTCTTAGGAAGGCAGATCAAGAAATAGGCGCCGTGAATGTATGAGCGGGAAAAGGAAGAATCATAATAAAGTATCCATAAACTTCGGCGTGCAGAGACCGTTTGGGGATAATGCAGGAAGGAAATGATTCTCAGCAATAATCTTTTCTAAAAATGCCATAGATGACAAAAGTACAGATTTAGGTACTATCCGTTCTGTATACTATACATTCGGTACCTGCACTTAACGGACGTACCTGAAGGTACTTGAAATGAACCTTTACCGTTTCGCATAGCTCTGCCTTGAGAGAGATGGCCCCTGTTTTTCTCACCCCACAACAGGACGGAAAAACTCTTAAGCTGCAAGGCTTCAGCTGTGGGCAGGACCCGAGCAAAAGATGAGACTTTTTCTTTCTTTCTTTCTTTCTTTCTTTCTTTCTTTCTTTCTTTCTTTCTTTCTTTCATTCATTCATTCATTCATTCATAAAAAGTGCCTTGCAGCCCCAGGCCGCCTCTCCCTAACCTAGCCGTCTTTCAAAGAGTCCCAGCAGCCAGGGATATTGTGTGACTTGATCCATGAGATGCTGATTATGCCAAATCAGAGGCAAAATCCTGACATTTCCTATTTGTTTTTCCTTGGAGGAGATGAAGAGAAGGCCGGTGCTAGGCAGGCTGATGGGAAACTGCGGCCAGCCAGCAGTGGTGGGAAGGAGGCCTGCCCTTTCCTGCCAGTTAGATGGCTGGTCTAGCCTGGCCTGAGTCGCAGGCTGGATCAGGTCCCAAAACAGGGTTCCTCAGCCTTAAGGTCCTGATCCATGGCAGGCTGAAGGTGCAACATCAGCCAGCCAGAGGATCCCCGGCCAGCATCTCATGGATCGAGTCACACAATATCTCTGGCTGCTGGGACTCTTTGAAAGACGGCTAGGTTAGGGAGAGGCAGCCTGGGGCTGCAAGGCACTTTTTATGCAGTGAAGCAAGAATTCAGGCTTCCTCGGGACTGGTGATCAACCCAGCCAGATATGCCTCTGTCAGGAAGACCTATTAGAGCTGTATGCACAAGGCTAAGTTCAGCCTGTACAGTTGTGATTATGCCACAGCTCACCTACATGAAGCTATCCTGGCTTTATCCTGGCTCTAGAGCTGTTGTCTTTATCACACCTTTTAATTCCTCAGCCTTTTAGGCAAACTTTCCCTAATCTGGAGGCATGTTCGTATATCAACCCCTAGAATTCCCACTCAGCGCGCCCAGTGTTTGGAAGCAGTACTATGAAAATAACTTTATCTTCACAAAATAATAAAGCGTAATTAATTTTTTTGAGAAACAAGTGACCTAATTCAAATGAGACCTAAACCATCATTTGGATAGTTTCAAATCAGCAGTGAGTCTTTGGAGGACACTGCCTCCAAGTGGCCACATCTCTAAAACAACTTCAGCTCTCTGTATTTCTTAACAGGGATATGCATTGACTAGAATATTGGGATCGGGGTCTGAATCAATGCTTCCCTCACTTCAATTCAAGCAAGCTGCACTGGCACACCAAATATAATCACACATTCCCTAACTGCATTTTATGTATTTATTTATTATTAAACGTATATGCTGCCCATCTCCCCCAAAGGGTGACTTGGCATTTAAGCTTAGTGTTTGTGCAAACCTAGCCCTTATGGTTAAGTGTATCATATAAATTAAGAAAAATCAGTTATGTAAGCCCTGATTATGTTAAATGTGGGTAAAAATTAGTACAAACGCAGCTAAAGAATCAGACTGCCTATTTTGACTTAAGAGTCTGACAAGGAGGAGATTTGTTTCTCCCACCGACTAGCTCTGAAAGGTTAAACAAATATATTTTTCAACAGAATGAGATGACATTTGCAGAAATGCTAAACATTGTTGGGAGGAAGGAAATTTTACAACCTCAGGGGAAGAGGAGTGGGGGTTTTGGAGCCTAATGTAAGAATCATCATGGTCTAAACTACCTTTTCCTTTACTTCTCACTTAGCAGACTTGCATAAATCTCTGCATTAAAATAAATTCTCATGATTGCCTTCTGAGGTTCATAAGGCTTGGCAGACTACCTCCATTCTCCCAAAGCTACATTTCCACCTATCAGGGCAGAATTAGACAATGTTTTTGGGACAGTGGGCACATTTTGAATTTTAGAGCATGTTGTGGGCATTTGCAACATGGCTGCTCCAGTGGATGGGGGCAGACAGAAGAGCCTATTTATTAGACATCACATTGATGAGGTATTCCCTGCCATCTCCCTGCTCCCCATGGTTTAATACCATATAATTTAGTTCTTTTTTTAAGAGTCAGCTGGGTGCACTTGTAAACAAAACGCTTGGCTGCAATCGTTTCTATTTTCTAGAAATGTGTATGAGGATGCATTCCTAGAATAAGAGTGCTGATATCTAAGTGACTACAGCTTCTCATTTATTTATTTTTCATTGAAGGAATCTAGAAAAAAATAAAATCAGGTGGGACAGAAAGCTTGTCAGTAGGGTGGAAAAATTCACCCAAGAAACACCAACTACTGGAGAGGACCCAAACCATTGTTTTATTAGTTCCAAAGCTGCAGCTTTGATCTGCTTATTGTTCACATGTTCATCTATATGCAGCCTACTAAGACACACACACCTTTCCTTCTTCCTTGCTTTTCAACAACACCATGTTAGGCCAGCCAGGTGTGTCCAAGAGGAGCCCCAGAGAGAATGCCTGCTTTTCCAGGACTCTTCTGGCACTCCTCTTAAGAGCTGAGGACCTTCAGAAGGCAGTCCCTGTGTCTCCAGATTGGGTGGACAGAATCTGTATGGGATAGGGGGTCCCAATAATACCCAGGCCCTGAACTCTATAGGTGATATGTGATAACCAGCACCTTGAATTGCTCTCAGAAATGTATTGGTAGCCAGTGAGTGTCAGAGTCTGCACACTCATTCCCAAAGTTCAGTAAATCCTCTGGAGACCAAATAGTTCCATCAAAGATTTCTTTATTAGGAGAAGTGCACAGCAGCTATAGATTGTTGAGTCTAATTCTACAAAGCAAAACCTTTCCTTTTTAAGCCCAACCTCCCCCCCTTACTAGCTTTCCTTTCCCACTGAAATTCTTCGTGCCTTGTCGGCTTCTCACACCTCTTGGCCTTGTTTCCTGTGTCGAGATAAGGATAGCGGCGCCTGTCCTCCTCTCCCCCCTTTTTATGGCAAGACAAGCAAGCAGTAAAATAACATTCCCATCATTCCACTATGCACCTATTGATATCTACCTATCAATCAAACTAAAAGCAATACAACAATTAATTGAAGCTTCTGGCTTGCGTAGATCCTGACAGTGAGGCTCCTACAGCAAAGGTGTTAAATGTCAATAATGAGACTGTCCAGTCAGCATATAAGTGATTGTACTTTGCACCAAGTGAAATTTCTTTTTTCATATATATACTAATACAAACTAATATAAAGTAAGAAGAAGAAAAGATCAGAAAGCAAGCTAAAACTGCAAGAAAAAAAGTAAAAGAAAAATAGAAAAGAAAAAAAATACAAAGAAGTGGATTCTGATCTTCTTTATAGCACTTATACGTACAATTATAAATTTACCTCTTACTCTAAGTTTGCAACATGACTCTTCATTCTATAAACTATCCTATCTAATCATCAAAACTATAAATCATAACTTCATTTTTTTCTGTTTTAAACAAAAAGTCCATAAGGGGTTTCTAGTCACCAAGTGAAGTTTCTGAGTCCTCTTCAAGGGCAGGCCCATGTAAAGCAAATTATGAAGAAGGAAGTTTGTGACAATATGCTATGTGAAGGTAGCCAACTGGGGTAATACATTAACCCCTAGTTAAGTCAGCCATAAATAAGCAGGTTGTATAAACTCAGCCTACAATATTTACTTTATTTGGGGGAGGGGAATTTCACATCAGTCACAGTTGGCAAGATTAGGGGAAAGGATAGAATTTTGTGAACATGGAGTCAGATAATAAATCTTAGCTTTGAAAGAAAAGAAGAGTTCACTCTAAAGGAAAAGTCGTAAGAAAGTGGGAAATGAGTTGAACCATTGGCCTTCCACAAACAATTGTCTATAGAAATGTGGTATTTTCATTCTGAGAGGGATCAGAGACTTTATCTCTCCTTCCAGTTTGAAAAGAATTTGCCTCAAAATCATAGCCTCCATAAGATCCAGATGTGTTTTCTCTCCCTCCTCATCAGGGACTTCTCCATATAGATGTATCGATCCACCTACTCCACCTATTGATACTACCGACTGCTTAGTATTTGGACCTTTAAGACATCTGCTTTCCC